GGGGGGGGCGGGGGGGGAAGGGAATGGCTAAAAGACATAAAAGACAGTAGCAGAAATGTGCAACTGAAACTACATTTTGTAGGCCCAAGATGGGGCTAAGCAAACTTTGTGTTAGCAGAAGAGCAAACCCCATGAAGGAGGCTCAACAAGCCCTTCAGGTTTCCAGAGACCAGAAAACAGCCCAAGAGAAAGATACTTGTCATGCCCCCTGCACAATGTGGTTCTGGGCTCCTCCTCACATAGACCAGCTGCAATATGCAGACCAGGATCATCAAAGCCAGAAAGTGAGATTAGCAGGCAAATATACAGGCAAGCAGCAGTGAGTCTCTTAGCACAGTACTGATTGTAACTAATTAACCAAAGCATCTCCCGCCAAGGCAGTGAATTCTACAATTGTTGACCAGTGACTACTCTATTAAAGGCAGGGAAACAATTGTGGTTATAAACTGCCTGTTTTCACATGTTCAAATCACTCTGAGCATGCTTTGGGGGGAAATAATGATCTCAGACCAAATCAGATGGTTTGCTTTAAATGAAAATCTGAGCAAAAGCCCTTTGGGTCATTCTTAAGCTATACAAAAGTGAGTGATGGGAAAAAGAGGACATAATTTTCCAGTGTTAAGAAGCTGTTGCATGCTTTCTCGTATTTGCTTTACCCAAGTGACCACTGAGCACTGAAACTTGGAAGGAAAAGCTGGAAACGTACACAAAGGTAGGAACATAAAAATCAAATGGGGGTGGAGGTGGGGTGTGCTGAATAATGAACTCCCAGGCAAACTTAAAGGAGAACCGCTTTGACTGCACGCAGGACAGGGTACAGAGGGGCTTTTTTCTGCAAAGTCCTATCCCTGTAAGCATATGACCTCTCTCCAGCCTGACTTGCACAGAAAATGCTTCTGCTGCTGTGATAACATGCACCAGGGAGAACAGCAACATCTTGCTGAAAAATGCTAAGCCCAGTCCTCCAAAAACACAGCCTTAAAACCACAAAGAGAAGAAAACCGCTGGCATGAGAAAACTGCCAAGCCCATGATTTCAGGGTTTTCACACAATTTTTTTGCTGCACTCTGCAATATTCCTCTTGATTCAAAGCCTTCATTTTAAAATAGTTTATGTCTTTTCCTGCAGTTTGGAAATTGTTATGATAGGACCAATCTTGCAGCCCTGCCAAGAGAAGCTGTGTGCATGGAAACAGATGTGCCTCTGAGATGACTACCCAGTCCTGTGCAAAATTATCTGCAGGTAGTCAGAAGCAGCAGGTAAGTTTGGGACCTCCTTCACTCAGCCCACTCTGCCACAGCAGACTTGCACTGCTGAGCCAAGCATGGGCCAATTTAACTGCTAGCAGCCTCAGTGACAGAAAAAGTAAATTCCTCTCTTTTTCTCTGAAAGGCAAAATAAAGTATGTAGAAATGCTGGCTGCAACATCCAGCTTTAAGGACAACAGCAAAAACAGAGAAAAAGGAACTGCACCAAATTCAGCTTTTTCAGATCCAAGCCACTGTGGCATTAAAGCATCTGGTTAAAGTTAAGCAAGTGACTAGTCTTATTTCAGTGGACTGAGACATGAGGCACCAGAGAACACCTCTGACTTCTGTACAGAATGATGAGTAAAAATCAGGCTGCAATTCAGGCAGCAGTATCACTCCATCTCTATTCCTCCCAGAGCGCTGGGGCGATGCAACCTCAGTGACACATCCAGCACCAGAGGAAGCTGCATGGTGAGTAAGGAGGGAAAGCAGCAGCCAGAATGACGTAGGCAGGGAGGGCAGCTCAATATCGCTGCTGATGCAAGACTGGAGGAACTCGAGCCTTGCTGAAGTATGTGGCAAAGCCTCCATCCTTTTCAATATGATCGGGAGTTCAGCCTTTTATTTTGTATCTCCTCAGCTGCTTCTCAAGAAACTCAAACTGATTCATGTTATTAAAGCTGAATTTATACTTTTTGTGTTTAATTACATCATACTAAAAATTAAATCTTGCTTAGATCTTGCTTTTTGCCTTTGCTATATTATCTCCTGTTACATGTCAAATAATTTCTATATTAACAATTATTACAACTTTCCTCTCTCAAAGACAAATCAAAGCTTAAGTAATCAATACCTATAAAGCATCAAGCTTCACAGAGGACAGTAAGAAAGCATACAAAGCTGCACTGTGACCCTGGTACCCAAAAGGCAGAGCACTGGGGGCAGGACAGGAATCACTGCTCTCTCTTTAATCCCCCAGCGTCACCTTAGGCAAGCCACTGCATGCTCCGGTGCCCTTTTCCTCCTCCAGCTGCATCCATTCACAGTGCAAACTCTTTAGGGCCAAGACTGTGCTTTACCATATCTGTGCACCTGGATCAGTGCCAAGAAGACACAAGGAAGCTGACAGGCACACGCACATACTGCGCAATAGTACTTATGCACACACTGTAGAACACAGCATAGTACATCTGGTTCAAGATGCATGTGTGTTGTTTCTAATCCCTACCAAGTTTTGCTGCTTCTCATCTTCCTTGCGAAGAATGCTCTCACTTCTCCATTTTCTTCCAAAGAATACACCAAGAATTGAACTTCTTTTTGATCCTGGCCAGGGTACTCTAAAGGCCATGGACTTGAAACCAACTCCATGATAGGACTCACTGGTCTAGTCTCCAACTCAAGTCTCAGCTGGGAAACCAAACCTGTTTTTGCTTTCCTTGCCAGCTGTAAAAGCGACAGTATATCCGAAAACTGAGGCAATCTTGAATTTGTGGCCAAGTATAGCAATGGAAGCCCCCTTCATCACTTCATGGTAACTGCCTCTTCTCTTCAGAGGCATGCTCAGCTACAGCAACGCTCTGCAAGTGGAGGTTACCTGCTTATACCACTGCTGGCTCTTCTGCTTCTTTTTTTGTACCTAAGAACATGCCTCAGCTATATCGACTGAGTGCATCTGGAAGGCTGATAAATTCCTGAGTGCATAATAACTGAAATCCCAGCAGTTGAGTCAATCTTGTAGCTCCAGGGATGCGGCTCCTGAGGGCTGTGGCATCATGACACCAGGGGCTCAGCAGGGATCCCTGCCTCGCCGTCCCCTGCTCTCATTCTTGCCCCTGTACTGCTGCCTGCAGCCCAACTGATGAACAGACTGGCCAGCCGATCTGCCTGACAAAAGACCTGGCCAGTCTTATTTTGTTTTTAATTTAAAGCAAATAAACACTTTCACAAGTTATGCAAAATAAGCCAAGTGAGCTGAAGCACAAACTGCTCTGCTGGCAGAGCCAGGGAGAGGAAGACATCATATCACACAGGGTAGAGACACACACACACACACACAAAAGAGAACAGCAAGATAGGGGGATGTTTTGGAGTATTTTTGTTGCCAAAACTGGAAAGCCAGAACTGCTGGGCAGGCTCTCAGAGGGCAGCAAAGGCAGAAGCAAACCCCAGGCTTTGCCTTGCAGCCTGGGTCAGGATGGGGAAGAGCTCCAGCAACACAGCTCCATGCTGGAGCTTGTCAACCCGGAGGAGAAAGGCCGTGCCTCGCAGGCTGGCTAGCAAAGGACCCGTGAAAGCACCACCACAGTGTGGGGAGAGCTGCTGCTGTGACTGCCAGAAGTTCATCCTTCCCACAGCTAACGCGGGACTCACCCACCACTGCCGCTGTCAGCTCAGCAGGGTTTGTGAATGCCAGGTGCATGTACATTTGATTTAAAGACTGAAAATGTTATGTAATGCTCACATTGTGACGCAAGACTGGTTTAAGGCAATCCTGAGTGTTTAAGGAACAGCTTCACTGACTTCGAGCCAAAGATGTGATGTGACAGGGTAAGTTAAGCTGCTCCAGTCTGTACAGGGGGTGGTATATTCAGCAACATACAGTGCACAACTAGACTGCTTGAGCCCTCTGCACAATTACCATCTAAGCAATTTTTACTGTATTTGGCTTCAGTAAAAGCTATTGCCACTGCTCTTACTATTTTAGAGCCCAATGTTTAAAAAATAACACATTAATTCCCAATTTTGTAACACTGGAGGGGAGTGGAGAAGGAAGAAAGAGGAAATTATAGATGTCCAATGCCCACTTCTGAGAAACTTTCTGGGGATTTTATGGTCTGTCATGACGGGCCTGATCTTGCAAACATGCCTGCCTACGAGCACTACTTTTAGAGGGATAAGCTTTCACAACCTAAAACGTTTGACTAGGTGTGAGTTCACACAACCACAACCCACAGGTGAAT